ATAACCCACTTTTAACGCCATTAAAAATTATTGTCAAGTGAGTGCTCTCACCCACCACTATGATTCACATAACTAACCCTCCCAAGTCTACGACTTCGAAGGGGCGCCGCGGTCGCACTCGTGCACGGGGCAGATCAGCAGTTAACGGCTGCAATGGCCGCGCGTCTAACCTGACGCATATAGTACAATTTGTTAATATCTTGTACAAAAGGGACCGGAGTGATACAACCCAAAATTGGCGCGATATTAACGCCGTTAAAGATCGCCGGCCGGCATGACAGGTCAACAAATGCCACCGTCGGCACAATCTACAAGGCAAAATGCGAGCTTTTTGATAACAGCACTGGATGTTTGTTATCGTACGCGATCAACGAGTGACGCAACCGACCGCCGACGCGGATCACACCGTCGGGGTCAATGAACGGGGTCAGCCGCGCTAATGGTCTGGACGATACCCGCGCATTGCGTRATAGCTCACCGAGTAATAAGGGAAAATGCACACGCTGTGATTCGACAATCAACACGTTCACGGCACTATCCAAATCACATTTTTGTAAATAAACGGGACCGTCTTTACGACTAATCTTTCGTCGACAGAGCGCGACGAAACGGCGCATGAACGCGACTACRCGCAACATACGGTCGTAATTTGAAAATCGGGTAAACCATTCACTCGGTACGTCGGCAACGAGGGCAGCACACGATGCAAGTCGCAATTCCGGTAWTTCACAAAGGGGTAGCGACGGACGAGAATTGTCCCATACCGATGGGTCATCGTACGCCACCTGTGCGCCCCGCCAATACAAGTCAAGTTGCGATAATACCGCCGCACATCACACCACGGGACGCACAGTCGGCGGGGTTATTGACCGAATCAATGTGTTGCCACCGGCAATCCGGTAACAGCGTACGGATTTGATGTACTCTATTGGAAACATAAACTTTAACCGACTCGTGAGGGACCGTTAGCCATGATAGCACGATCATCGAATCCGACCAAGCTCGAATATCAATAATATTAAGTTGCGCCGCTAAAATGTCACGGATGCGGTTTAGCCACCGAGCCAACAGCAAGGCAGCGTTCAATTCTAGACGGGGAATTGTCATGGATTTTGTTGATGCCAATATTTAGTCTTAGTACCAACCAAAAAAACAGATTGCTCTACGGGCACATCGACCATCCGCAAGTACACAACAGCTGCACATCCGCGTTGCGACGCGTCACAAAATCCTAATAAATAGCAGGGGGCATTCTGGTGCGAATTAAAATGCCGGGGAACGCGAATAGATAGTAACGACGGTAAATCAGCGACGAAAGCTGCCCATTCATCATGAATGTCCGTAGAAAAAGGTTCATCCCACGACAAACCATGAAGCCAGGTCCGTTGCATGATGGACTTTGCTAAAAACACCGCGGGACCRAACACCCCAAGTGGGTCGAATATTCGAGCTACTAACGACAAAATACCGCGTTTGGTGTAAACAGGTGATTGTTCGAGACGTAACGCACAACACAAGTAATCTTCGTCGGGGTGCCATTCTAAACCTAACACCTTAGTACCCTGACCGTMTACCGTTTCGAACGGCGTAGGTGCGTGCACACGATTCGCAGCCGACACTGCGTCCAAAACCGACGTARTGTTCGACGACCATTTTTTAAGTTCTAGACCAGACCTATTCAACACACAAATCAAATCGGATTGTAATTTTAATACATCAGTTATAGTATCAGCCCCGTCGCATATGTCGTCGACGTAAGTCTGACGCGTCAACGAATTACGCACCCCCTCGGACTCATTGCAATCGTCGGAAGAAATCGTCTGTAACACGCGCAACGCGAGATACGGCGCACAATTAACACCGTACGTGACCGTATTCAATTCGTATTCAAGCAGTTTGTCATGTGGCGACGCTCTCCACAAAATATGTTGAAACTTACGATATTTTGGCAAAATCAAAACTTGCCGATACATCTTGCATATATCGGTCGTAAAAACGTATTTGTGTACGCAAAACCGCGTTAGGATGTCTACAATGTCCTGTTGGAGCTTAGGCCCCAGAAACAGACAGTCATTTAATGACGGCCCGCGGTCATATTTCGCGGAAGCGTCGAAAACTACACGTAATTTATTGCTGTCCACCTCCGGACGGTATACAGCGTGGTGCGGAATGAAATAGCACCCCGGGGACGTGGCAACCGACATAATATAAGTATCTGAATATAATATATATAAATAACAAATCTGTACATAAATTATGTAGGTACGTATTACTTACGTAATGTTAATAATTATATATCTTTCTATTATTTCTATATGATTTTTTTTTAAATTATTGTATTTAAATGCAATAGATATATGTACCTATTATAATTAGGTCCCGGATTTACATAAATGTACTCAAAACCATACAAATATGCTCTAAAAATTACCCAAAAATGTCCTCAAAAAATGACCTTAAAAATGTAATTTATATTTATTTTTTATACAATTTGTTATTTTAATTTGGAATTTATTAYTAWAATATATTTAWTACTTTATTKWRAAAAAAAAATTKGAAAAATTGACTTGATGCTGCTATGAAAAAACATACCGGTGGAGTTTACATTTTTTTTTTCAGGTAAAATAAACGTACCGGTGGAATTTACATGAAAAAAGGTCTAAAAAGGTCGCAATCGGTGGAGTTTACATGCGCCCGTCGTAACTCCTAATGCATTATTGAGATACACTGTACACCAGCGCGCACACACACACTAATGATCATTTACACTCGCACACATTGATATGACCAGGTTATACGTGACACATAATTTGCCTAAATCTTACTCCTTAGAAAATGACCGACTAGAACCCCCTTAACCAGCAAATAAAATAATAATAAACGTTATTCAATTTATTATATTATTTTAATTAAAAATGATCCCAATGACCCTACCATAACTAGAACATTTAGCTTAGCAGTAAATACAATCAAATATATTTATGGTACAAAAAATTGTTTCCAATCTCCGGCCAACAATTGACTGTCTTGGCTATCAGTCACTTCAGTAGGTGTACTTTTGCGAAAAAATGAATCTAATCGATTACAATTTCAGCACATTTCGCTAGTAATTTTTTATTTTTTCACGATCCCTTTCTGCCCCTCATTTCCTTTTTTTGTCCATAATTTATAATATCGTATGATCAATAATTAAAATCGCGTAGTTGTTTGGACACAATCAAGTCCAATTCACAAACACTAATAACTAATAACAATCAGCAATCATAGCCTTAACCACATCACATCTGCATGCGAAGATTTGTTTGGGTTTATTACAGATATTATTTATAAAAATAACAATAACCAGTGGGACCACTGACCAATAACACACCATTAGGTATTATTCAATTATAGCCATTATATATTGGTGTATGTCTATGTTCGTCGCCACTCTGAAGATAAACAACTTTCAGGTTTCAACAGGCGTCAGTACTCGGGTGTTTATTATAAAAATAACCAATCGATATTTTGTAATTTTATACCCGATGGCCTATGCTTTCTTATACGAGGCTATTAAAATGCAACACAAATCACAATTGTATTAATAATATACCAAATACAATACTTATTGTTCAATGTCGTTTCCCGCACATAATTATACATCACAAGTTTTCGCAGCACACTCATAACCAATGTAATAAAATAAATACTGTTTTCAATATTTTTATCAGTAGTGTACCACTGCATTAATTAAAAGAAACTACTCATCCTTCATGTAACCAAGTATTTTTTTTTAATATTGAAAAATTCTCATTATAAGTTCATGAAGTCTAACCTTTCATTCAAGTCCGGCTTTTTTTTTATAAGTATACTACAAAATAGATTTATCATATTGTGTGCTTTTTTAAACCTGTAAAAACGACACTTGTTTGCTATACATTTTTACTTTTAAGTTTATTTTATTTCAATATTACCAGATATGCTATAGTAAACATATTTTATATTTGTTTAACATATTTTTAGATTTATTTTAATGTATATTTTATTGTTATCAGTTATTGGTGGTAATTAGTAATAATAATAATAACAATAATTTCGAGCAAAATTCAAGTAAGCCAATCATTAGCAGGAATTTTATATCGTGGCTATAGTTTCAAATAAGGATTGTTAATACGCGAATCGGCATACGTTGTTGTGCCATATAAATTATTTCTTATGATTATATTGGTAGTCAAATAAAAAATAACTGAATTATGTGTGTTTTACTGGTATATGACTGAAAGATAAATGGAGCACTGAGAACAATAACAAAATACAAAATATTCATTTTTTTGAATTCATTGTACTTTTATAATTTTATTATCTTAACTAATAAATGTCAAGTTAAATTTCTATCACACATTATGAAAATTAAAAAACATTATCAGTCTCTTAGTGCAATGGAGTGTACGATATTTTTGGTGAGTCCATCTTTAGCCAACACAAACAAATTGGATGGTTTACCCATACTAGAACATGCCACATATAATTGGCATATCCGTGCGAAAAATACGGTGTGCCCTAATTTAAGCCTCAAACAGACTCGTTTGGCCTTTAGACATATGGATTGTTACTGCGAATGCCAACGTGTGTCAACTACGAATCAACGCGCTTGTCTTTACTMCAATCTTCRTTGTTCATTGCGTTCAGAATTCAGATCATGCCTCTTGTGATTTAGGTTCACACAATTGTGCTATACTCGTACGAAAATTCTTATCGGATTGGATTTGTACTAAACAGTTAATTCTAAAAAAATTTATTTTGAAGTTTTGAAACATAACCTATTCTAACCCAATTAATTTACATTAAATTTCAATATTGACTATTGTTTATGTAAGTCAATTTTACTTAAAATTATAAAGTTTATGATTATTACTAAAATAATTATTTTTTACTCCGCTGGTTTATTGAACAATGACCAATATTATCCGAGAAGAGGAAAAAAATGTATTGAAAAATATTTTACGTAACAAAACTGCACATGGGCGTATCCGGATAATAAAGTTAGTTATATTATATATATATGATTTTCGTGCATTTAAATTTAATTTAAACATTAATCGTTGTATTTTCGAATGAGCCGCCGTATTCATGATAATATGATTTATGATTTAAATTTAAAATTTTATTTAACAAGCTAACTCTTTGATATTAATTTTTACTGATAGTTGAGAACGCACAAAAWTATTTTATGAATAACACAGTATAATAATTTTAACTGGACCAGTAAAAAAAAATATGATATCTACGAAAATATTATTGCTTACGAAATAAAGCTATTTGAAAAACCATTTAATGATTTTATAAAACAAGCCAACTCTTTGATATTTTTTTTCTGATAGATTATTATTAATGCACAGAAAATGTTATATATGTTATCTATATCGTATATGTATTCGTTTTTTTTGTTTTGTAGGTTTCTGCAGCTTTATATTGTTTACTTTCAACAATTGATATTGCATAATATGAAATAATTCAACATTCACCAGAATTACCTATATAATATTTCATGGATTTATGCACACCACTTGTAAAACTACTTATATTTTATTTATTTTACCATTATTCCAAGATTAAATTAATATGACTTGGTCTCATAATATGAGATAAATTTTTTTTTGTATACATTCGGTTAATGTTAATGATTTGGTTGTTAACTACATTTTTATTTTCTATTATTGTTGTTGATATTGAAGAGCTCTATCTTCGTGTCGTCTTATCGCATTCTTTGTGCGTCTCTTRACATATTATTTGATGTTAAGTATAATGGTTGAAATTTCTCTCCAGGGAATTGGGTTTCATAAGGTCTTATTTCATTGCGTTTAAATAGAAGTTCCTTACAACCATATTTTGACTATGGGAAAACTATGTAGACGTTATCTTCTGCAATTGACTTAATGATTCCAGCAACATATGCCTCTTCGTCAACTTTTGTATTAACAATATCACCTGCAGCTTGGTACATTGTGTAGGCCACTGGTTCATCAGGTTTATCGAACCTTCTCTCTGTAGAAACAATAGGACAATAACATATGTGACTGGTTTATCTAATAATACGCCAGGAATAAGTTGAATTATTTCTTCAGTGTTACTCATTCTCCTCGCTTGAAAAGCAGGCGCTATGATGCCGTCCTCAGGATTTCATTTCATTTCTGATCCATGTTTACAGGTTGTCTGCAATAGTGCAATGACTAGTTTTCTTTTACGATGTCAACAATTAATTTTAACTCGTCTAACACAGTTTGCGAAGGATTAATTATGAGTTTGGAACGATACGGCCAATTGTATTGCATTATATTGTATTCGGGTTAAACGTAGGTCGATGCACGTTTACGAATTCGCMCGTATTTACCTGGAAACGCAACAGCCAACAGTGGAGTTCTTCTAGCAATCCACGTATAATAGCCTCCGATTGTTTGATATGTACACTCTGGATTTGAAATATGTTGAAACTAAGTGATTGTCGACAACCAGTGTTTAAAATTTCTTCAAAATCTTCAACGGATACTTGATCAATGGACTTTTCAGAAGAAWAAGCGGCCATTTTTTTAATAACGAATGCAGTGCATTTTCTAAAACTTATCAATTTGATTAAAATTAACTAAAAATGTATTAAGTATAAGAAATTTTGTGAATTTAATTTTGATAAACTACAATAAACATAAAAATATGTTTGTTATAAAACAAATCGATACAACACTGTGAAAAAATTATTTAACAATCCAGCCATTTATAATATATATTTAAAAAAAAAAAAATTAGGATTTCTACCAAAATATCATCTCTGACGATATAAATTTATTCAACATAACACTGTTAGAATTTTATTAAACAAGCTAACTCTTTGATTCTCTTTATTTCTGATAGATTACAATGTACAGAAAAATTGTATGTACATTATGTTATAAGTATTTATATTGGAAGGAATAAAAAAATTATTTGAACAAAAAAAATA